CCCCCCACCCCACCCCCACACCCACACCCACCCCCCACCCACACACCCCACCCACACCCACACCCACATCCTTCCTGATTGATTCATGTCAAAATGGGTTATTGCCACAAACATGTAGGTATGCGTCATTGTTCAGATAATTACTAATTATGGTTGGTAAGTTTCAAAATTGTTGTGCAATACTTGCAATAATTTTTAACAATACGAACGCATCAGAATAGCAATTGTATGTGTCTTTTTCCTTCTGAATCAATAAAAGGACAAACAACAAGCCGATTCTGCCATTTGTAATATTGCATCGAGTAACTGAAAGAAAGGTAACTTAACGGTTTCTTTTTAATGTTCTAATAATTTTTCAAAATCATTCTTTTCTCTTGAAAAACTTTTTTTTAGATAAAAGATATCTTTTCGTATTTATCTCAAACGATTTCTATTGAAACTATGATTTTAATAAATGATAAAGTAATTATAAAAATTGCTGTAGTAAAACGTGCCAGTGAAAAACTTTTCAGTCAGACATATAAGGAAAACAGTGACATTTTCATGTATAAAAAGAACACATTTTTTCATGAAAACGTCAGTTTTTTTATGCACAACACCATTTCTTTCGTTCATTACCTGTTTGACTGAAAAGTCTATTTGATGTAAATGATAAAATATGGTATTATTTCTTACATGTCATTTATGAAATGAAAAAAAGGTACATTAAATAATTTACTTTGTAACACTTGTAGAGCATTGCATAAATAATCCTGAGAAAAGACATTGGTTAGATCGTTTGAAAAACGTACTTTTTACAACTTTGCGAATCTTAGCAGTAATACTAAAACTAGTTTCAGTTTTCGATAAGAGGACATTAGTCTGCATTTCAAATTGCTTAATTTGATACTTTCACAGTGCTACACTTCAACTGAAAGTTGAAGATCTTGCAAGCAAATGTATCGTATTACTTTGCAGGATATTCTCTGTAAAATCGCATAGAAACTATTTACGCACAAGTTTTGTTAATTATGGACAACATCAGCTCTTGGTCTTAAAATTAGTGAATTTTCTAAACAGTTCCAATATTTGCTGCTGATGACATGATGAACAAAATACCTAGATTATTGTCTTCTGGTGTAGAACGGAGGATAAATTATCTAAAGGAATGAACCGAAATGCTTACCTTGCCATGTCTCTTTGATGCGAATTTTCAATTCCGACCGCGTCGTAGTGATTAAAATCAAAATTATATGAGAATAAATAACAATTAAATGCTTATCTGGATAAAATTCTTCTTTAAAACTCTAATACTGCCATAAAAGGCTGGAAAGGTCAAAAGCAATCCTTTTCTGTTTGCATTATAGTAGTAACAGTGCATCATCCTACCGTCCACTGGTGTGTCGCTATTCGATGCTAGCAATAGACGATCTACCAGCAATCCAGTGTCATCGTTAATCTCTAAAAGGAATCGATTTTTGGAAACAGTTTTGAGAAATAAACCGTCTAAAATTTTTGGTATCTGATAACAAAAACGAAACTGTCTTGGTTTTTGGAATCAAGTTCTTGGTAGCAAAAAAGTTGTAGGAACTGCTCACACGAACCAGTTCATATAATAAGAGTGTTTCAACAATTGTCTAACTTAATTAATATCAAAGTCTCTAACGACAGTTGCAATTCTTTTATTTTGACTTTTAAATCTCCCTTTACAAATACGAGTAAAATTATGTTCGATATCCAGCAATAATTGATACTTTTTTTTGGTTCCTTTCATTTTTATTTGTCAACCTACGTAGCGAATTGTATTAATACTGAAAATAATAATCTCGAAGTAAAAATTGTACTTTTCAAAAAAAAGATACAAATCATCATTACATTACTTTCATCAAGTTCGCTTCGATCTCCTCATAACGACACTAAGAGAAAATAATTATATGCTAATAAAAATTTGTTACATTATTTTCAAACAAAGAATTTCTTGAAAATAACTGAGATTTTTGAGAATATATCAGGTGTAGGATATTTACTTTACTAAATTAAAGTAACTAAAATAGTTACTTATTTCCTGGTAAATAGGAAATAAGTAACTACATATTAACTTAGTTACTAGTAACTAGTAAATACATCAGTTACTTTGTTACTTTTATAAAATGATTATAGTAAATACGTAGTTAATAGTAAATATAGTATTCATCACAAGTATGACACTTCAATCATGGTTTCGATCTAAGAAACATCGAAACAATATCTAAGCAAAGTTGATGGTACCAATAATTCATAAGTTATGTACAGAGTTTGGGTATAAATGTGTGTGGGTGTTCGAATTTCGTGATTCCTCACACCCACATCCATGTCTCATCTTTAAGAAGGTATCCGCTCGTCGTACTCTGCTGCAAAGTAATATCATGTGATTAGTCCGTTGCTTTACTCAGATACTCAAAATCAACCGTGAGTACTCAACAGTTCTCAATACTCATAAATACTCACGACATTTTCTAGTATGAATGCTCTCACTAGGGAGGTTTAAAGTGGTATTTTTCAAGCTTGATATGCGACATATGTAAACTTATTAGTCGATATTTCCGACTAAATCGGTTAATTTTGATTCATTCATATGTCCTTCGTTAGAATAAAATGAGATACGAGAAACATCTATAACAGTTCATGCTATAGGCCTGCTAGTGAAGAGCTTCGGTCGTTTTACTCTGCGTCAGATATTCCAGAAAAAACCAAAATGAAAAGCTTGAGACTGAAGTTTTACTTATAGATAGATTTCATTATCTTTGAATAGTGCGAAAAGTTTCAAAGAAAACGAACATTCTTTTTTCAAGATATTAAATGTCGAACAAAACTGAATTGCTGTGTAAATCTATGATAAATGACTGTTTTTGTTTTGAAAATTGAATAACTCGAGAAAAGTATGTTTGTTTTCATTAAAGTTTTGAAGACTACTTGATGATTATGAAATGTATCTATAAGCAAAACCTCAGCTCAAAATCATTCATTTTGAGTTTTTCCAAAATTTCTTTTAGAATTTTTCTTATCTTAATATACTGTATTGGATGAAATATCAATATATCACAACGGAGTGGATAGTTTGAGATTATTCTCTCGTTAGGGTATATTTATTTGTAAGTAAATCAATTCTTCTGTTTCATGTTTTATTCTTTGTCTTTCAATTCATCACGAGGATGTGTCAATTTTCAACAAATACTTATTGTTGGAATTATTGTTGTAGATATGTCGAATAATACGGTATCACAAAGAGAAAAAGATGAAGCGGAACGTGAAGCAGTTGATAAGATGAAACGTGATGCGTTAACTCAAGTAATCGATCAATGCAGCGATCTGATCAAATTAAGGCAATGTGTGTGCGATTTACGTTCAATTGGTATATGTCTTGAGAAATGGTGGACTGATCGAGTGTTACCTCAATTTTTTTTTATTACAGTATGTTTCAATGACAAGACTTATGACATGTAGTAAGTAAAAGGTTAAATAAATGGTAATTGCGACATAATGTCTGTTAATATATAGCATTAATGAGTATATTTTGGTGGCCAACATACTATTTGAACTTAACTTTATTGGACTACTCGAGCCATGGGAAGCAGCGCGTGCTTATTTAGAAAGTACTGATGATAGAACGATATTTGACCTTGATAATCGGATGAGTATTGATCTCACTGGCAGTCGACTAATCTTACATAAACGAGAATCCATACCAGACACCATGCAAATATTTGTTAAAGGCTTAACTGGATGTACAACTACAGTCCAAGCTCGACCCAATAGCGCAATTAAATATGTAAAACTTCAGATCCTTGCCTATGATGGAATTCCAATAGAAAAACAGGGTCTTATATTTGCTGGTAAACTACTTGAAGATGGACGAACATTCGCTGATTACAATATTACAAAGGAGAGTACATTGCATCTTGTATTATCTCTAACTGGTGGAAAGCCTATTATTCGTCTCTCTTCATCAAACAATATGGTAATTTCGAATGTAAATGTTCGCCTTGATCTTGCTAATAGTATATGGAATCTATCAAGCATATATCCGATATCATCCAATACTGATAAAATGTCATTTATCGAATGGAACAATATTCAGGTGCATCCAGATGGACGTTTACTTTTTGAAAATAAACACAAAATTATTGAAAATGATCGTCTTTTTCCATCGATTGTTGATGAAAGTGAGCATCGAATGCTTTTCTGGGAAGCATTAACAAATACAAATTCATCATTTTTTGAACTGAACGATGGTTTATGTGTACCTCGACGAGATTTCTCACGTATTCTTAATTATCTACTTAAGAAAATGTCATTTTCAGTAGAAGATCGAGATGATATGATTACATATGTTCTTCCACACCTTGATGATGCTGATCCTGATTATACAAATGTAAATGTTGTATTTCGTTTTCTTTCACAAGATGAATACTCATCAATAGCAAAACTGAGTGTTGGACCTGTTCCTGAACGAATTATTCGTGCTTTTCTTCTCTATCGACTTGCTAACAACGAAGAACAAATCTCAAACATTGATGAAATCGAGAATGTAATTCATTCGATCTGTCATCAAAATTCATCATCAAGTGGTCTCATCGTTCATGAGTGGGGTTCTATGTTTTTATATTGATGTTATTGCTTTATAAATCATTTATTCACTACACTTTTTTTTTCTTGATTAAAATAAAATATTCATGAATATGATCTGACACAACAATATGATACGATGGAAACTATTGGAAAACTGTAAATAGAGTGTGGGTGTGGATGATCGGGTCTTCTTACCCATACTCACGCATGCTAATAAATGATTCATCGTCATTACATCATGATTGGGCAATAAATGTTGGTTACCTATACGCAATTTAAATGACAGACTTGCATCATGTGTTTTTTTTTATTAGATTGCTCTTCAATACTTTCTCTGCCGACCTCAAACTGATGACAATGAGTCAACAAGAATCAACATCAATTATGACAATGATTGAAGAGCAGCTACACGACGAGCTAGGATGTGTGAGTGTGAATGTGGGTGTGGTTATGGGTGTGTAGGTGGTTGTCGGTGTGAGTGAGTGCGGGTGGGATGTGTGAGGTTTGTGAGAACAGAAGATTCACCCACAGCTACATCTGCCGCTATACACCTACGCCTACGCACACCCGCACCCAAATCCTACACTCATCCACACCCACACCCTTTTCAGTGTCTCGATAATGCTCATACATTGATAACCGATCAAAAATCACGATTAACAATGATTGCTCAAAGATACAATTGTCAAATCGATTTCATCGATGTGAAAGTTCAAATTGAAATTACAACTTTACCAAAAAGTATAAATTCATCAACAATAGAATTAACACCGAAATATTTAATTGAACAATCGAATCAATTCTATTCAAGTATAGGAATTTTGAAGAAAGTATCTATTTCAAATTTCGAAATCGAAATTCATCGAACAGAGAATAATCGACTACCAAAAGTTAGTATAATTTCTTCTCTTTCTTATTTATCTTTTTTTCCTCATGCAACACTTTTAGATAGATATTCTAATTATTTCAGCGGTTAAAGATGCGATAAAAGAAAGTATTGATCCAACAAGTCGCAGTCTTTATTTTGAAAATGATATTGGTAGAAGAATTTTATTTATTCCATGGATGCTATTAACTGTATCAGATGTAGATGTAAATCAGACGAATAGTCATCTTAGAAAATCAACAAATGATTTTATTTCGACAACATTGAAACAAGTGAGAGCATTTTGCAAAGATCAAGTCATTACTATTTGTTTTTCAACAACTGATTGGGAAAATTTTTCTTCGTTTGAAGAGGGTGTGGGTGTGGGTGTGGGAGGTGGGTGTGGGGTGTGGGTGTGGGTGTGGGTGTGGGTGTGGGTGTGGGTGTGGGTGTGGGTGTGGGGGTGGGGGTGTGGACAAGGGGGAAAAAGCGGATCCTGGTGGATCCTGGGATCCATTAGGATCCGCCAGGATCCACTAGGATCCATTAGAATCCATCAGGATCCACCAGAATCCATTAGAACTCATTATCATTTATGAAGATAGATTAATGTTCTGAATAGCCACAAAAGCAAGGATATCAACCAGATTGATAAAATAAGGATGCATAATTCAAAATATGTTCTGGATGAATCAATGGGAGCACCATGTGCTATTTATACAACTATGACTAGTCTA